ATGTATGTATGTATGTATGTATGTATGTATGTATGTATGTATGTATGTATGTATGTATGTATGTATGTATGTATGTATGTATGTATGTATGTATGTATGTATGTATGTATGTATGTATGTATGTATGTATGTATGTATGTATGTATGTATGTATGTATGTATGTATGTATGTATGTATGTATGTATGTATGTATGTATGTATGTATGTATGTATGTATGTATGTATGTATGTATGTATGTATGTATGTATGTATGTATGTATGTATGTATGTATGTATGTATGTATGTATGTATGTATGTATGTATGTATGTATGTATGTATGTATGTATGTATGTATGTATGTATGTATGTATGTATGTATGTATGTATGTATGTATGTATGTATGTATGTATGTATGTATGTATGTATGTATGTATGTATGTATGTATGTATGTATGTATGTATGTATGTATGTATGTATGTATGTATGTATGTATGTATGTATGTATGTATGTATGTATGTATGTATGTATGTATGTATGTATGTATGTATGTATGTATGTATGTATGTATGTATGTATGTATGTATGTATGTATGTATGTATGTATGTATGTATGTATGTATGTATGTATGTATGTATGTATGTATGTATGTATGTATGTATGTATGTATGTATGTATGTATGTATGTATGTATGTATGTATGTATGTATGTATGTATGTATGTATGTATGTATGTATGTATGTATGTATGTATGTATGTATGTATGTATGTATGTATGTATGTATGTATGTATGTATGTATGTATGTATGTATGTATGTATGTATGTATGTATGTATGTATGTATGTATGTATGTATGTATGTATGTATGTATGTATGTATGTATGTATGTATGTATGTATGTATGTATGTATGTATGTATGTATGTATGTATGTATGTATGTATGTATGTATGTATGTATGTATGTATGTATGTATGTATGTATGTATGTATGTATGTATGTATGTATGTATGTATGTATGTATGTATGTATGTATGTATGTATGTATGTATGTATGTATGTATGTATGTATGTATGTATGTATGTATGTATGTATGTATGTATGTATGTATGTATGTATGTATGTATGTATGTATGTATGTATGTATGTATGTATGTATGTATGTATGTATGTATGTATGTATGTATGTATGTATGTATGTATGTATGTATGTATGTATGTATGTATGTATGTATGTATGTATGTATGTATGTATGAATAAACTTCATTTCTGCCAGTTCTATCTTCTTCTGCCTACTCAAAATTAGACAAAAACGCTGAAGGTAAATTATTATTGACTCATGATCTCAACTGTTGAAATTACTACAATCTCCACAAAACCCTTTCTGATACTAATCAACATATGCTCACTAGTTACTGGCTTCAAGATATATGTCCCGGAGTTCTAGAGAGAAGCAGTGACCAGTGGAGTTCAACCGGGTCTGTTGTGAGATAGTAACTCACTGATGACAATGGTGGACGGTGGCGCGATTTCGTGTATAGTTGAAGTTAGATATTAACACCGTTGGATGCCGGCTCAGTGGTCTAGTTGGTTAAGCGCCTGTCGCTTGACTGATAGATCCTGAGTTCGAATCCCGCGAGGCGGGGTCGTGAATGCGCACAGCTGAGGAGTCCCACAATAGGACGAAACGGCCGTCCAGCGCTTCTAGGTTGTCCACGGTGGTCTAGCTTCAGTTGACTCATGATCTCAACTGTTGAAAGTAAATTCACGTTAGGAGTTTGACAGTAGTAAATAATATTCTTCAAAAAATATTTCACAAGAATAAACGTCACACTTAGTTATACAAAATAAATATGATCCAATGGTGCATTTTTTCAAATTTCTTTTAGAAATTACAGAATACTTAATCCATAGTAAGTGTTCATATTATCCTTGTGTTAATGTTTAAGAATGAATTTTGATATTGGTTTGGAATGTCATTGTAAATATTGACAAGGATATAAAAGTACATTCATCTGAAGAATCTGAAGTAAGTGATTTGAAACTCTACTGTTAGATATGATCCATTTATTCTAGTCAAACTTAGGATACAGACACAATTTATTTCTGATGTTTGTACTGAAATTCATTGATAAAGATTGAGTGTTCTTCTTCGTTGTATTATTTTCCTTTCTCCAACAATGATCATATTATTTACAAATCTTTTATGTAACAAGTTAAATACACAAATTTCTGTCTTTGAACATTGACAGATATGAATCATGAAAGATTAATGTTCTTCCTAATGAAACCCAAACTAACCGACCATCTCTCCAAATATCAGGGATCTACCTAGTTGACTACTTCAATGTGGCTTATAGTTCATATCACAGACCCCTTTTAATTAAATAACCACTAAAAACCGAGAAGTGTTAAATATTCATTATGTTCTAATATGATACAACTCAGTAGTGCATATCTACGAACCCGTAGATGATCAAATCTATGATTTGTCACTTATTTTTCTTTTCTGCACTTTATAAATGTTGATGTATAAGGCTGATAATAAGTGAATCTACCCAACAAATATTATATAGAGTGAAACTTCTATCTGAAGTTTGTGCTGATGATGTCGTTCAGAAGAACGATGAAATCTCCACGACCGAACCATCCAGCTCAGAGAACAAAACTCCACCAAAATCATCCACCTGAGCTACAAATCTTCTCCACCATCTCAAAATCATAGAGTGAAACAGATACCTTGGGCATTACTCGTGGAATCTATTCAAATGAGTCTACTTACTAATGGGAACGGATTAATTTATCCCTAAACATTAAAAACAGAAAACTTAAGCAACAAGAATTCACAATAAACTAGTAACTAAAGGCTCTATTTAGGTGATCTGCTAAGAAAGTACATATATCAGTAAGAAGTGATAAGATGTAGTTCATAATATTAGCAACAGGAAAACTCAAACTCCTACATATATGACTAATTAGTTTATATTTTTGCCAGAGAAATATAGTTACAAATACACCCATTCAAAAATGTATACGAATCTTTGAAACGAATTATACAGAAATGATTGAAATCAAAGTTTCCATAAGAGTATTTTCAACTTGTTCTTTCAAAATATTTACCCGTAATCACAATAACATACAGTTGGTATTTAATGAATAGTAGATATGTTGTGGAGAGAAGAAGAAGATTGAATGAGAAACTCTAGAAGGCATTTTTGGAACACTAGTCCACTTAGCTGTTAAGCTTTAATTTCTTACAATTCGTTCACGTGTTTTCTCTATATTTCACTAATCTTAAACTTTTACACGACCTGCGGTAATAATTTATTCCACTCCTATATTAACGTATGATGTTCGTGTTCCAATTTTGAACTAGAATGTCTTATTTTGACAAATAGCACATTTTCTATTTTAATATAAACTGAGATTTAAGTGCTTAAGTATTTATTTATCATCAACATCTCTCCAATTAACTCATTCTCAGAGTCTTCAGAGATAAAGATCAATTTTCCTTCCGACAAGATCAGTAGGTATTCAGGCTCACGTGGTACAAAAGTATGACCAAACTATCAATGTGGGATTTAACTCTATATTACATTTTATTCCTACTAAGCATTTCAGATCTAGCCTATTTTATAAACAAGGTATGGTAGACCTAATTTTTCTGCTTTTTCAAATAACCGTTTCAATATTAAATCTATCCTCATTTTCTATCAATATAACTGAATTAATTTTATTCCGATGTTGCTCAATTATATAATCACTTAGTTTGTATAATCTGTATTACTGTTTGTAGTCCTGTATTGTATGATACTTTTGTAAACAGACATAAGTAGTATGTAGCACCAATTGAAAGTGGAAAATCTGGTAACAGAAGGCTAAGAAAATCGAGTTGAAGAGAATAGAAGGGAAAATACGAAGGAATTATAGATTGAAATAATCATACAAAATGTGAAGTATTCAGTGTATGGTTCTCATATGTGTAATTTTGTCATTAGATGTGACCGGTTGTCCCTACCTGTGTACTCGTTCAATACAGTCCTATCTACCTTAATGTAAAAGACTGGGTTTTTGTTTTGTGACTATGCAAAAAATCATAACTACAATTACATAATGTCTTCTATTTTCCCAGCTCTGTGTCGTCTGATTCATTGTCTCATTTTGAACTTCCGTTCAGTAATTACTCTAAGTAAGTTATATCATACTTTTACTTCGAATTTCATTATTACTCTTGTAGATTTAAATAATTTGTAAGTGAAAAAAACAATGATGAATTCATTTTAATCTACGAAGATCTCCTCATATTCTTATTGTATTCGACAATACTTCAAAGAAATGTTTTGAAAAACATAATATGTTAATCATCTAGACTTGAGTGGAAAAATTGGAACTCAGCAAAGACTTAATGGGCAATATTCTTCTTTTATGAACCGGCCGTCAACTGGAGGGACACTGAAACCATGTAGAAGCACTGGTCAGGCGTTTCTTTCTATCCCTAGTTGAAACAAAAGGGTTGGTAGAAAGGATAAAATTAAAATCTAGTAACAGATAAAATGATTTAATTGTGAGTAAGTGGGGCTTAATTACAATTTGGAATGTACAAGTAACTATCATTCTATGGCAGCTCAAAATCGTATATGGATGATTAAACAAAAGAAACTGGATTAGTGTTGAATGGATCGTGACTAAGGAACCCAAGGAACAGCCCTTTAAGTCTGGTCACAAACTATTTCCTCATCAGTAGGCCGATGCCCCTTCTGACAACCAGAGCGACCATTTATTTAGGTACATGGAATGTTCGTACAATGTGGGACAGCGGAAGAGCCTTCCAGATTGCTGCAGAAAAGAGAAGATACAACCTAGAGGTACTTGGGATCAGTGAAACACATTGGACACAAGTTGGACAACAACGACTAACTACAGGAGAGCTCCTGTTATACTCCGGCCATGAAGAAGAAAATGCACCACATACACAAAAAGTTGCATTGATGCTGTCCAAACAAGCGCAAAATGCACTTATAGGATGGGAATCTCATGGACCAAGGATCATCAAAGCCTCGTTCAAAACAAAGAAAGAGGGCATTTCAATGAACATCATCCAATGCTATGCGCCTACCAACGACTACAATGAAGACGCTAAAGATCAATTCTACAATAGGCTGCAGTCAATAGTCGAGAAGTGCCCAACAAAGGACCTGACCATTCTGATGGGAGATTTCAACGCCAAGGTTGGAACGGACAACACTGGATATGAAGACATCATGGGACGACACGGACTGGGAGGAAGAAACGAAAATGGTGAGAGATTTGCAAATCTATGTGCCTTCAATAAACTGGTCATAGGCGGCACCATATTCCTACATAAACGCATACACAAAACCACATGGACTTCACCGGATCACTCTACACAAAACCAAATCGACCATATTTGCATCAACAAAACGTTCAGGAGGACTATAGAGGACGTGAGAACCAAGAGAGGAGCTGATATAGCATCAGATCATCACTTACTGGTCGCCAAGATGAAATTGAAACTCAAGAAGCACTGGACAACGGGGCAGACAGTATCACAAAAGTTCAATACGGCCTTTCTTCAGGATACTAACAAACTCGACGAATTCAAGATAGTCCTCAGCAATAAGTTCCAGGCCTTTCATGATCTACTCAGTGGAGAAGGAACTACTGTGGAGAGCAACTGGAAGGGGATCAAAGAGGCAATCACTTCAACATGTCATGAGGTCCTGGGTCACAAGAAGCACCACCACAAGGAATAGATCACTGTTGGTACACTGGATAAGATTCAAGAAAGGAGGAACAAGAAGGCAGCGATCAATACCAGCCGAACAAGAGCAGAAAAAGCCAAGGCACAAGCTGAATACACGGAAATAAACAAACAAGTGAAGAGGAGCATCAGAACCGACAAACGTAAATATGTGGAAGATTTAGCAACGACGGCGGAAAAGGCTGCAAAAGAAGGAAACATGAGACAATTGTATGACACGACAAAGAAACTCTCTGGAAATCGCCGCAAACCAGAACGACCAGTGAAAAGCAAGGAAGGCAAGGTAATCACCAACATTGAAGAGCAACAAAACAGGTGGGTAGAACACTTCAAAGAACTGTTGAATCGACCAGCTCCACTGAACCCACCCAACATCGAAGCAGCACCCACGGACCTCCCAATCAATGTTGGCCCACCAACAATTGAAGAAATCAGCATGGCCATCAGACAAATCAAGAGTGGCAAAGCAGCAGGACCGGACAACATCCCAGCAGAGGCACTGAAAGCAAACGTAGCGGCAACTGCAAGGATACTCCACATTCTCTTCAATAAGATTTGGGATGAGGAACAAGTACCAATAGACTGGAAAGAAGGACTTCTGATCAAAATACCGAAGAAAGGCGATCTCGGCAAGTGTAATAACTACAGGGGCATCACTCTTCTCTCAATACCGGGAAAAGTCTTCAACATGGTATTGTTAAACAGGATGAAGGATTGCGTAGACGCCCAACTTCGTGACCAACAGGCAGGATTCCGTAAGGATAGATCGTGTACAGACCAAATCGCAACTCTACGGATCATTGTGGAACAATCGGTTGAATGGAATTCATCACTCTACGTCAACTTCATCGACTACGAAAAGGCATTTGATAGCGTGGACAGAACAACACTATGGAAACTTCTTCGACACTACGGCGTGCCTCAGAAGATAGTCAATATCATACAGAACTCATATGATGGATTACACTGCAAAATCGTGCATGGAGGACATTTGACAAAGTCGTTCAAAGTGAAGACCGGTGTTAGGCAAGGTTGCTTACTCTCACCCTTTCTCTTTCTCCTGGTGATCGACTGGATCATGAAGACGTCAACGCCTGAAGGAAAGCGCGGGATACAATGGACATCTAAGATGCAGTTGGATGATCTAGATCCCAGCAGAGGAAGAAATCAGGAAGAAGCGCTAGAAGTGGATAGGACACACATTGAGGAAAGCGCCCAACTGCGTCACAAGACAAGCCCTCACATGGAATCCTGAAGGTCAAAGGAAAAGAGGAAGATCAAAGAACACATTACGCCGAGAAATGGCGATAGACATGAGAAAAATGAACAAGAATTGGATGGAACTAGAAAAGAAGGCCCAGGACAGAGTGAGTTGGAGAATGCTGGTCAGCGGCCTATGCTCCACTGGGAGTAACAGGCGTAAGTAAGTAAGTGTGGGACGCATTAACGCCATACTCTTCAGATGTTACTGTCTACACTGATAATTAATGGAACATGATTAGGTTACTATTTTTAGAGTCAAATTTTTTTGACTTTATTCCTCCGTGATAAAGAAGCACGTTATTGCCTTCGACTTCATTGTTCTTCATCTAACCTCTCCGCTATCGTTGGACATGATTGAAAAAAGTATTTCAGTAAATCTTCAGGATAAGCAACAACAACAATTGAGTTAGTGTGTCAGTTATTATTGGTCCACTTAGAAACAGAAAAATAAAAATTTAACTGATCCACTTTTAATAGTTGAGATCATGAATCAACTGAAGCTAGATCATCATGGAAAACCTGGAGGCACTGGACGGCCGTTTCGTCCTATTTTGTGAAACAGTTGTGCGCACCTACGATCCCACCTAGCAAGATTTAAACTCAGGACCTGTCGACCTCGCGTTCGAGCGCTTAACCTCTAACTTTAACTAATCCACGAGATTAAGCGACACATCTACCATTGCCGGTCAGTACTTCCAGGTTTTCCATGATGGTCTAGTTTCAATTGACTCATGATCTCAACTATTAAAATCACTATAACATTTACAAACACCCCTTCTGATATTAATCAACTTTTGTTTTGTTTTGGAACAAAGTTTCCTCAATTTACTTATACAATTATACTCAGATTTTACGCCTTATAACTGATTAAAAACGTAATAAATACTAATAATTAAAATGTAACTAAGATTAATCTAGCGTGATTGAGACTATTTACAAATGAATTTTAATAGTAACATTAACCATTAAAGTGATTTATCAAGTCAATCTAATTGGATAAATATTTTTGTAAAAGAACTGTGATGAACTAATGTAGAGGGGTTAAAAATAACTTAGTAATAAACAATATATTATTAGAAATCATAAAACAATTATTTTCATAGTTAAATTGACGAGTCGATGTAAGCTAGATTACCAATGAAAACCTAGAAGCACTGAGCAGCCATTTCTTCCTTGTACTAGACTCTTCAGCAGTGTGCATCCACAACCCTACGCGAACGCCTAACCCGTGCACAACTGAACCAGCAACCAACTGTGTCAAAGTCTAATTTCAGTTAACCCATGATCTTGTGCAAAACTGTTGGATGCTAGTCTCAGTGGTCTAGAAGTTAAGCATTCACGTGTAAGACCAAATGTCTTGGGTTCGAGTCCTGAGTACAGGATCGTAAATGTACACTTCTGTTGAGTCCTGTACTGGGACAGGACGGTTGTCGAATGCTTCCAGGTTTTCAATGGTGATCTAGCTTAGATTGTTTCGTAAATTCAACTTTGAAAATACTACAATCTCCACAAAACCCAATACCGATAATAATTATTTGTTTAAAAGAATATTACACTATGTACTGATAAGAAAAAGAACAATAAGGGATGCACGGAATGTACAGTTAAAATTAAATGAAGTAAATCTATTATACAAACCTTTAGTGTAATGTTAATTAACTTCTCATAAGTTGTAAACGATTATACACCTTGATAACATTTAATGTAACTTCTATAAACTTCATTTCAATGTTTCATAAAATCTACATGCTGTTTTAAATGTGAATTCATTAGATACACAGCTGTAATTTTCATTAGGAACTGATATTGTGGTGTATTCTACTTATGTTGATAGACATAAGTAGTATGTAATACCACCCAGAAGTGAAATACCCTATAGCAGAAGGTTGACAAGATCGAATTGAAGAGAACAGTCATGTAAACAGAGAAAAATTCTCATAACAACAGAAATGAAGGAACAATGAAACTTATAAAGGACAACTGATGGAAAATGTGCAAATCAAGTATTTAATGTGCGATTTTCATATTTTATGAAGACATTCTGTAATTTTGTATTCAACAATAAATCGATTATCTCCAACTCATTTCTCGATTCTCTACAACATCAGCTAATGATGTAATATGATCACGATAACATTAATAACTCTAAAGATATTTCAATACAACAGCTCCTTTCTTTTCCTATCCACAGTTCCAAAATACTTACACATCTGATAAAGTTGATTAAGAAAATCAATTCAAAGTTCAGTCCATTCACAATTATTAATTATCGCTTCAACAAAAAATATCACTATTCGTTAATTAGTACAAATGAGAATAGTACTGAAAATTCAATAAACAGAAAATCATCTTAAATCAATATGTTACTATGAAGATTGATCCTGTTTATATTAAACTCATATTTAGGAATTTATTATTCAAAAGAACTCAAAAAGAGTGCTGTCCATAAGTACGAATTCTCAATAAGAATTATATATTACTTCATCATATGAAACTGAATCCGTAAATGTTAGGTTAAAGTAATAAGTATATAATCCGATTGTGTTGTATTCACAATTGATCAATCATTGGGTGGTGATCAATGTCATGTGTGTCAGATCCTTCTTAGTGTAGATCAAATACTATCGACCTACAGGAGGTCAGTTGCGGCCCAGATAGTCCAGTGGTAACGTCTCTGACTGTGAAGCTGGGTGACACGGGATCGAATCCGCCAGGGAGCACTAGTTCCCTCAAGATTACAGGCACACCTTCCTGACGAGTGCCAAGTAGCACGAAACCCGGGTCTAGAGTTTCCTGTCAAGTACCTCCAACCACCATCTAATCTCAACATAGTGCACGCAGTGTCGAGTCACCTAGACTGACGGCCACATTGCGACATGGTCGACAGCATTCGATCTGCACTAAAGAAGGACTTGACACACATGACATTGATCACCACGCAGTGATCAGTCAATTGAGAGATGAATGGTTGCCAACAGTGAGATTCAAGATGCGCATCTCGTCCTATTTGGGACTCGTCACCTGGATGTACCTGAGTCTCAGAGTTGATGATCACTCAGGACTTGAACGTTCGCTTTAGTAGGCATCGCGTTGTTCACTTGACTACCAAGTCCACGTAAGCGACTTAAGGCAATATCGAGGCTGTATATATAGCAATAAGAGACTGATTTCAGTCATAAACATCAATGAGAAGATTTAAACGACCAATCCGAAAATGAATAGTAAGAAAATGTTAATAAGGAAATAATAAGAGATTAATAACTGCCAAATTTAGAAGGGATGTATTATTATCATTAACTCTTAAGACCGAGATAAAATGTGGATTTAAGCCTGTCGTTTTCAAATGTAAAGATCACATTTTAAATGATGGATTCCTGGCGCTTCTGTTGTGTATTGATTTATAGTATCTAATACTATAGATCCAGATGCCTTAACTTTATATTTAGAAGTTAATTCTGAAGACAGTGTACGCCATCACATTTGGAGCAGAAATATTGAACGTTTTAGATTCAACCTTTATGCAAACGCAACAAATGATGCTTCAAGAGGGGTTTGAAGAGTTTGTACTTTGTTCCACAAGAGCAAGTAAACGGATAAAAACACACTGAGTTAGCCTAGAGCTGTACTCCATCATTGAATAATTTATTGACTAAAGCAGACTGTTTAAAGCTCTGTAAAATGAAACGTTTTTCCCAGTGATCTCGTTAGTTGATTTCTTTAAATTTCTGTTATAATATATTTACAGTACAAACACATTGAATTTGACTGTTATACAGGTTTTAAGTAAAACAAGACAGCGCCTCAGTTCATGTTGTAAATGACTGACATCTAAGATAATTTTTGACTAAATCAGATAAGTAAATTGTTAACTGTACATACTTTATATTTAACTAACAAACATTCATATAGTTTCCTTAAAGGATATACTTTTGTTAATCAAAATTCTAATATACTAAAACTCATGACTGTAATATAATATTCATGTAATCCGTTAAGCATACACATATTTCAAACAAGATTGATTTAAGAAAGTATTCAATATGGACAACGGGAAAATATAGACTTTTTCAAATTATTCCATAACATGAGTCAATTGAAGCTAGACCATCATGGATAACCTGGAAGCACTGGACGGCCGTTTCGTCCTAGTACGGG